CAAGAGTGAGAAACCTCACAGAACACTGAAGACACCAAAAGAAAACTTTGGAGCCAAATTTTGCTTCCTATTTTATTAGGTTTTCATGTGTACATAACCATTTTCTTTCTATTTGGTGCACTTATGATTGTATCTCCCTGTTTTTCCTGAATATTACAACACATGAGTTCCACCCCAGTGCTTTTGATTCTAAAAGGAGCTTGGAAGCCTTTCTTCTTTTTCATTTGATATGCAAAGTAGATTTAAGAAAACCACAAGTTTTAAGGTACAATGCTGAAATCGGTCCAAATGTTACTGCATTTGAAAAGATCGAATTATGATTCAGAGAGAGATTGTCAATTTGGCTTTGATTTTGTTTCTCCACGTGAAATCTTGAGTCACATATTTTGCATAATTATAAGTATAGTTACATTTCATTTAGCTCTTCTGAGTTTGTATCTGTTGTATTGTTCCATCTACAGTTTAGAAACCAGTCCCATAACTGATACTGATCTTGCAAAGAGAACTGTCTTCCAAAGATCATACTCAGTTGTTGCTTCCGAGTATGATAAACAACACTCCATTTTACCTGCACGAGTTAAAGCCATTCCTAGAAGAAGAGTTAACAGTGGAGACACTGGTAAGTATGAGGATAAAAAAGAATATTGAGTGATCTGACTACTACAAATAAAAAAGAAAATGGTTTTATTTGCACAGAATTTTTAAAAGTTAATTTTTGAAGGAAAAGGCATGGGATAATTTCTAACGTGTGATTGACATTCCCTCTGTGTGACACAGCTATAAATGTGCATCTCTAAATTTTGCATCTCAGTTGAAGGGAAATCGGTGATTGTTCAAGAATAAATTGGCCTTTACAATCTTACTTCTTAGGTATCTAAGCCAAATGTTACAGCCATTATCCCTTCCACTAAACTTGTGGACCGGCAGTTCCAGTGATGTACACATTCACAGTTATCTCTCCACCCCAATAGAAGCTTGTAACTTGCAGCTGCCATCATTCTAAGTAGATAAAAAAAACTTTGGAGATATAAATAGCCCTTAATCAGTTAAAAAAAAAAAAAAAAAGAAGAAGAAGAAGAAGAGTTACATGATCTGGACCAGTTGGTATCAATAGCCCCAAATTGGGGTGGGGATTCTACCTCAAGAATAATTTAAGAAACCCAAGAAGAACAGGATAATATAGTGATAAATTGTCAGAGAAATCACTTGCTAAAATGAAGATTTGGCCTAAAAATGATAGTCAGATGATTAAGTATCTTATTGAAGACTTTTAAGAAAAACATTATTGAAAATTGCCCAGCAATTTATAGGTTCACTCAACAAATATTTTTGACCTCCTGTTGAGAAATGTTTCTTATAAAGCCATCTTTTAGAAAGTGATGCAGATGAGATGTAGATTTCATTTAGAATATAAATCACTTAGCTTTTAGAGTGTTTTAGAAAATGTGAACTTTAGATTCAGCTCTGGATTCAAAACCCACCTCTACAACTTAATGGCTGTATGACTTTCAGAGAGTAACATATTTAATCTTTCTGAACCTTGGTTTCTTCCTCAGTAAAAGTTGAAATTGTTATGATTTGTGTCATGTGCAAAAAACCAATAACAAAGGCTCTAAAGTGAATATGCTAGATATTATCTTAAATATATATGCACTGCCTATGAAAATTAATAATTTTCTTTTTCTTTAATAGAAGTTGGTTCTTCCCTTTTGAGACATCCGTCTCCTGAGCTTTCTCGGCTAATCTCAGCCCACAGCTCTCTTTCTAAAGGAGAACGAAATTTCCAGTGGCCAGTTTTAGCTTTTGTTATACAACATCATGATCTAGAAGGTCTTGAAATAGCAATGAAACAGGCCCTAAGGAAATCTGCTTGTCGAGTTTTTGCTATGGAGGTATGAAGACATTAATGAAATTACTGATTCCTTGATCATACAAATCATGTGATGATTCTATTTAATGATGCCACTTTTTTACCAACAGAAATTGTATGAAATTAAAAGGCATTAGCCAATTAAAAGTATCAAGTGTTCATATAAAAATTAGACTCTAAAGTTTATGAATATAAACGAATTTAGAATTTCATATTTCAGCACTCTAAAGAAATTTATTTCTGTATTGCTTTATTATTTGAATCTTGAGATTATCTTTTTTAAAAGCTTTTATATACTCAGAAGGTCATTTTATTAGAAGGAAATGACAGAGTAATCATGGAAAGAAGATAAAGAGTAGGGCTTTTGAGTTATAAGTGAACCAGTAATAACTTCTCTGGGCCTTTGGCCTCTGGAAATAATAGGATTACTGTATATTACAGGCCTGTATATAGTAAATCTTTATTTTTATCAAATGTGATAAATAACTTGCCACTTCGTGGATGGGAATTATATGAATATATTTAAGTACATGGTTGCTTTTGTAGAGCTTGAGATACGCTTTGTGTTCATCCAGATGCAAGTTGGAAAAAATGTGCTTGAATAAATTAATATTAAAAAGAATTTTCAAAGTAAAAAGTGGTTTGAAAAAGTGTTTTGGTATTGTATTTTAGAAATTATTTTTCCTATTTTTTTAAATTAAAACCCCAAATTATTAACTGTTTCAAGTTCCGTGTGCTTTCAGTGAAATAAAGGTCAGATTTTCAAGGAGCCAAGCATAGTATCCCATGATTGTAATCCTAACACTTTGGGAGGCCAAGGAGGGAGGATCACTTGAGTGCCAAGAGTTTGAGACCAGCCTGGGCAACATCGTGAGACGTCATTTCTACAAAAAAATGTTTTAAAATCAGCTGGGTGTGGTGGTGCGCGCCTATAGTCCCAGCTACTTGGGAGGCTGAGGTGGGAGGATCATTTGTGCCTAGGTGCTTGAGGCTGCAGTGAGTGCTGATCACACCACTGTACTCCAACCTGGGTGACAGAGCGAGACACTATCTCTTAAAAAGAAAAACAAATAGTAAAACTATAAGGTATTACTTTTTTTAATTAAAAAAGATTTCCTAGCATCTTTCTTTGAAGCCTTAATCCTTGGAGGTACTTTATTTCTGAGTACTTTTTAACTCATGTATTTTATTCTTAAACTCATTTAACCATCATTTCTTCAGGCTTTCAACTGGCTTCTGTGTAATGTCATCCAAACCACTTCTCTCCATGATATTCTGTGGCATTTTGTGGCATCACTGACTCCTGCACCAGTGGAACCAGAGGAAGAAGAGGATGAAGAAAATAAAACAAACAAAGAAAGTTCAGAACAAGTAAATGAGATTTTTATTTATTTTGATTGTGCATATTTTTGTAGAAACTGGTGGTATACCTTCAAATAGTCCAATAATTTGCACAAAATCATTCACAGATCTAACTTGAGCAAAAAGAATATTTTAGTGCTATGGGCAAAGTATTAACAGTGAGACCTGGATTTTATAGAAGGCAGCCTGTATAATGGACAGAGCATTGAACTAGGGCACTAGGAGCCTGAGTTCAGCCTCATTTCTACCCTGTTGTAGTTGTATGACTTGTAGGCCTTGGTTTCCATGTCTGTAAAATGAAAGAGTAATCTAGATGGCATTTATCTTATTCCCAGCCACTCTGAAATTACGTGAATGGCATTTTAGGATAATTTCCAAGGATATCAGGCAGCATTATCATAGTCAAATTCTTAAAACTCACAAGGAAACAAGATACCATGAGCAAGAACTAGCAAAAACAATAGGCAGCAGAAATAGACCCTCAACAGTGGTTGTAATTATCTGTGTAAATGTAGAATAATGTGTTAATATGCTTAAAGAAATAAAAGAGAAACTTTAAAATATGAGAAGAAATTGTAAGAAGAAATATAATGATGAATTTGATAAAGAACTAAAGAAAATGTAAATATTAATCTAAGTATAATTGATATTTTAAAGAATTAGTTTTGAGATTTTATAACATGTCAGTGAAAAAATTGGTTAAATATAAGAGAATGACAGATTTGATAAAGAACTAAAGAAAATATGTAAAAATTAAGTATAATTGATATTTTTTAAAAAAATCAGTTTTGACATTTTATAGCATGTCAGCGAAGAAATTGGTTAAATGTAAGAGATCTGCAGAAATTATCTAGACTTCAACACAGAAAAAGTAAATAAAAAATACAAGTTGCTAAGAGCAATGAAGGGCAAAATGATGTATAACACTTACCTACTTGGAGTTTCAGAAGGAGAAGACAGAATGGAAGAGAGACAGTATTTAAGAGTTAATACTTGAGAATTTCCCAGAATCGATTACAGATAACAACCCATTTCAAGAAGCCCAGTAAACCCCAAGCAGAATAAATACAAATCATAGTGGGCAAATTATAGTGTATTACCTGAACACCAAAAACAAAGAAAGAGATCTTTTACGCAGCCGCAGGAAAAAAATATTAGCTTTCAAAAGAGGGACAGTGAGAATAATTGCTTAATTTTCGGTAGCAACATTACAAGTTTGTTTGTTTAAATACTGAGTTTGTTTAAAAGGCTGTCAGTTGGCTTTTTTCAACATGCTGAAAGAAAATGCTTGTTAACCCAGTTGAAGGGTCTTTGAAGAACAAGACCAAAGACATTTCCAGAATAAAAACTGAAAGAAATGGCCAGGGAGTGTCAATGAAGAGAAAAGAAAGTGTAAATATGAGGGCATATCTTAAAAAACATTGACTATGTAAAAAGTAATGATATGTCATGGTGAGCTACAAAATGATAAAAGATCAATCCTGGATATGTATCTACCTAATACTGTAACCTTAAAAAAAGTAACAATTGAGAGACTGCAAGGAAGAATAGGACAGTCTGCAGTTACAATGTGAGATTGTCATATACCTGTAACAGCTATCTGTTCCTGCATAACCACCCCAAAACTCACCGGACTAAAACAGTTGTTTATTTGCTCACAGTCTGTGGGTTGGCAATTGCAGCAAGGCTCCACTGAGAGGAATGGCTCTTTCCTGTTTTGGTTACATAGTGTGCTTCAAGTGGTACCCCTTGAGCTCTTTTATCCTCCAGGATGCTGGCCTAGGTTTGTTCAGATGCCAGAAGCATTCAAGAAAGCGAACACAGAAGCTGCAAAGCCAAAATGGCCAAGACTAAACTCGAAAACCATGCTTCTGCCACCTTCCGTTAGCGGGTATAATTCACAAGGCCGGTCAAAATCAAAGACTGAGAAATAAACTCCACCTGTTGATAGGAAGAGCGACAGAGAATTTGTGGCTGTTTTGTGCGTAGTACCATAACACTCTTTTTAGTACTGGATAGGTCAGGCAGAGAAAAAGAATCAAAAAGTACACAGATTTGAATGATTGACAGTCTTGATAGAATATACAAAGCATTGCATATAGTTGTTTACATTCTTTTCAGATACACACAAATGTCTATGGAAATTGACTGTTTACTGGACATATGAAACAAGTTTCAACAGACTTTAAATAATTGGTTTTCTTCCTACCATGTCCTCAGTCTTTATTGCTAGTGTATAAGAATTAGATAACAAAACAATAACAAGAAAAATATTGAAATGATGGAAATTAAGAAACGCTTCCAAATGAGTTGCATCAAAGAAGAATTATAACAGAAAATATTTTAAATGGAATGGCAATAATAGTACATCTCAAAACTTGTTGTTTGGCAGAGTTCTAGTTATAGTTATGATGGAACAGCCAGTGTCAGGATTAGTTCTTATAGTAAACAACAAAAAGCTGGACAAAATATTTAAAACAATTGTTCATAGGCTCTGAGCAGTGACCAGTACAGGGCTATAATCCTTGAGAGAAGAAAAGTGCATGAAGTGAGCCCCACAATCAGGAAAAGAGTCCAGCAGAGTATGTCGGTTGTATTGGCTGAGATCAAAGTTTAGGGCTGTAACTTTGGGATGTGGGAAGCACGGCACCAGTGCTATAGAGCTGCAGAAAGGAGTCTAAAATTTTTGCATAAAAATGTCCCTGCCATCCTGGCCACTCTTAGACTGGGCATGCAATTTCTCTGGAAGACCTAGCAGTGGAAATGAATCGTAAACTGAGAAATGAACAGATTCTTAGCTTCAGAGCTGGGTTCTAAAGTTTTAGCCCAACCAGAGGTGGGGTGAATGAATACTCCTGGCATGCACCTGAAACCCCAGAAAGATCATGCCCAAGGAATACACACCATGCCTTAGGAGTAAGGGTAATGCCTAAAATCAAGGGCAAAACTGAAATAACCCCAGTCTAACAAAGTCGAATGCCAGGTCTTGATGGAATCTAGATGGCCTGCTATCTCCCTGTAAGAACTAAACTACATTCTTTAGAAGAAGATAATGTAAACCAGAACTTCTGTATCAGTAATCAATAGATACACAAAGAAGGAGGTAAAAAGCAACCATCTTTTAAGTAGCTCAGTGACATAGTTTAAAAAGTTTGATGAACTTACATTGGTAGCAAGATGGAAGAACAAACATTCTTTGCTGTGGAGTAGCAGCTTCTTAGAGAATGGTTTGGTAAGATCTATCAAAATTCACATTAAAAATCATTCAGTAATTCCACTTTCATGAAGTTCTCCTTATATATGCATGTGTGAAAAGACAAATATACAAGTTGATTCACTGCAGAATGTTATATAAAAACAAAAGATTGGAAACAGCCTAAATGGCTGTTCTGAAATGGACTGATGAAATAAACTGTGGTATTTTTATTCATCAGAATACTATGCAGTAGGATAATATATGTTACATACATATCTAATAAGTAATAATCTCAAAGATACATTATTGTTAAAAGGGCACAGATCAGTTTGTTTAGAGTGCTGCCATTTGTATAAATGAACAATGTTTATAGACAGTTCAAGAAACTGGTAATAGAAATTGCCAGTGGGAGGGCACCTAGGTGGCTGGGCTTTAAAGACAGGGAGACTTTTTATGATATTTTTTTATACCTCTTGAATATTTTATTACGATGTATTGTACCTACTCAAAATGATAAAAAGTTATTCCATAGTTAATATTATTAATGGAGCCATCTGAGGGTTTGAATGAGAAATGAAATTCAGCACCTGCTTCTCTTTCCTAGCTGTGGTCCATCTGCCTAGAAAGGAACTTTTTTTTCTAATTCACATAAAAATGCTATATGAGTTAGTGGCCACCCCAACTTTTAAACATATGTTATTTTTTATACATAAACATACAGGCAAAACATACCTACATATATGTATGTGTATATATACATACACGTATCTGTATATGCACACACACTACACATACACATGCATACACATATAGATTCACCCTACAGGTAGATTTGTGAGTACACTAGAATCGATACATTTATTCATTTGCATGCTGATTTTACTTGTGACTAAACTTACAGCTTTTTTGCCTAAAATAATACAAACATAATTAGTTAAAATTACTGTACGTTCTGGGTACAATTTGGTTTTGTTGTTTATATTTGTGCTACACGACCATTTTTTAAGTATACATGTCTTTTGTGAAGAAGATTCCTTCCAGCACACACACTGATAAACTTGTTTCAATTTCTGCCTTAGGAGAAAGATACAAGAGTATGTGAACATCCACTCTCAGACATAGTGATTGCCGGGGAAGCTGCTCATCCTTTACCACACACCTTTCACCGCTTGCTGCAGACCATCTCAGACCTTATGATGTCTCTCCCCAGTGGCAGTTCATTACAGCAAATGGCCCTGAGGTAATTTTGTATCCACATATCGTAGGTACATTGGACAAGAGATTTTATGGAATATTCAAAGTATGAAATGCTCCAAAAAAAAAGCTCTTTAAATAGTAAGATAGAATCCCTACATTATATAGATGGTGCCTCCCTCCTTATAGTCATAATTTTTAGAATGGTCCTTCCTCTTAGTTAACACTTGTTTGCCCTTCTGTAAAATGTGGCTAATGTACTTCTTAGTGCCCTAAATTATCACTGTAACAATCTCCCTCACTTTCCCCACTCTCCTACCTCAAATCACTTAAATGTTCTAAAAAGAGAGAGGGAAAGTGAAATCTCAAAAGCAAAAACCAAAATAGAGTTTTGACTTGAAAAGAATCTTAGGAAAACCAGAGCCTGTTTATATGCTGCCAATCCTGAAAGCACATTAAGGAGCATCACAGATGCTCAACAGATTCCAATTTCAATTTGAAATGTGTTGAGAGTTTAGCATTGCTTTTACACTGTGAACCTTATTACTAGATTCACATACTGGACTCACACTTATAAATAAATTATCCTAATTAATGTGTACAAGAAATAGATTGATGGAATGACTGGGCTTCCCATGTTTCTAATGATAAGACCAGTGGAAGAGAGATTTCTCTTTGTCCTCCTCACAAGATTTTTGAAATACAAGATACATTATACCCTGATGAATTAGTATGGCAGCATAAGATTCATGAATTTCAGGGGTCGTGACAGTTGGTGTAACACTTGTTTACACAACAGATTCATTACCCTTTTTACTTCTGTAGCCTTGATCTTCATCTGTCTAATTTTTTTATATTTAAAATGGGTCAGCTTTCCTTAGTTTTACCTTGTTCCAAAGAAGTTACCTTTATATCTCAAAAACAAAAATAAGAGAAATGATTTTCTTCCCTGAATTTTTAAAATGTCTATATTTTACTAGAACATTAAAATTTCTTGAGCTGTTAGCTACAGAGTACTCATCTAAGAGTTCCTTAGATATTCCTGGAAAATAATTGTTTCATATATTGCTTATATATCACCTTTTTAGGTGCTGGAGTCTCAAATTCAAGCAGTCTGATCACCAGTTCCTTCATCAGAGCAACGTCTTTCATCACATTAACAATATTTTGTCAAAATCAGATGATGGTGATAGTGAAGAGAGTTTTAGCATCAGTATACAATCTGGCTTTGAAGCTATGAGTCAGGTCAGTCATTTCACAGTTATTATCCTGGTTGTCTTGTTAGTTAATAATACATCAAAGGAGAAACTGTAAGTTATTTATAGTCAATTTGATCCTGTCTTCCATTATGTTTTATCCTATATCTGTTTGTTTTATCATCATGGAAGATTTGCTTTTAAGTATCATAAGTACTTGTATTTGTTTCTGATAGGAATTATGCATAGTAATGTGCTTAAAGGACTTAACCAGCATTGTTGACATAAAAACTTCAAGCCGACCTGCCATGATTGGCAGCTTGACAGACGGCTCCACAGAAACCTTTTGGGAATCAGGAGATGAAGATAAAAACAAAACTAAGAATATCACCATCAACTGTGTAAAAGGAATCAATGCCCGCTATGTGTCTGTTCACGTGGACAATTCTCGAGATCTTGGGGTAAGAAAGCAAACTTGATTTATGACTCTTTATCTCTTTTCAGACCTTCAGTATTCATACACTCTCATTTCTGAATTTAGCAACAAGCTTTATCATCTGGAATTTCACCAACCAAACGTCATTGCTATAATCCCCAAATCTTAAGTCTAAAAACAAATTAATATGATGGGGAGCACTGTGGAATTCCATTTCTGAAAAGAGATCTGATCACAAATATACCATGGCTACAGCTAAGCAAAATGAAAGTCTGCTCTACAATTTTCTGCTCTCATGCCCTTGGGTTAAGATTTTCCTGTGACCTGGAAGTCCTCCCCTTAAACTCCGCTGAGCAGTTCTCCCAAGGTCTCTCAAACTCAGCAGAGAAATTCTAAGTAACTCCTCTAAAAAATTATTCTTTCCCTCTGCTGGGTTCTTTATTGTATTACTCTGGTGGCACCTAATAATAGTCTTTGACCTGTAGTGTAATGAACTTTTTTTATTATTTTTATTTATTTATTTTTTTTTTTGAGATGGAGTCTCCCTCTGTCGCCCAGGCTGGAGTGCGGTGGCACGATCTTGGCTCACTGCAAGCTCCGCTTCCGTGTTCACATCATTCTCCTGCCTCAGCCTCCCAAGTAGCTGGGACTACAGGCGCCCACTACCATGCCTAGCTAATTTTTTGTATTTTTAGTAGAGACAAGATTTCACCATGTTAGCCAGGATGGTCTCAATCTCGTGATCTCGTGATCCACCCACCTCGGCCTCCCAAAGTGCTGGGATTACAGGCGTGAGCCACCACACCCGGCCTAATTTTTGTATTTTTAGTAGAGACAGGGTTTCACCATGTTGTCCAGGCCGGTCTCGAACCCCTGGCCTCAAGTGATCTGCCCACCTCGGCCTCCCAAAGTACTAGGATTACAAGTGTGAACCACTGCACCCAGCCTATCTTGAAGTGTCTACTTCTTTGCCACAGTCCTCATGAAATAAATAAGTTTCAGACTGTCCCAAATAATCATAATTTATATTCTCTTTAGCCTAGTTCGTCCACATGTTTCAACTGAGTTAAATATTCTTTTATAAAAGGCACTAAAGAAAAAAGAGTCCTATTTACTTGAGTGTTAACAACCAAGAAAGAAATAGCACTAACTGCCAGACTGCCTTTCTTCTACCTCATTTAGAATTTTTTTCCTCAGAATGGATGTGGCTTTTTAGCAGATACAGTATTAATGGTTCCCTTGAACCATTGCCTGGCTCCTTCTGTGTTATTTGCGTATTTCCTTTCTCAGGAAGAGCCACAGTGGTAGGATTGGGTCTCAGATAACCTGGATGCAGGCCAGTCTGCAATCAGAGCAACCTCCAACTCCTGTACATCAGTACAGGTTCTATTCCTCCCTGGTATTGAATAAGTAAAAGAGGCTTAGCTAATATAATATGAGCTATTTCCTTCTCAGACCCAAGAATTTCCCCTGGTGTAACCACTTTATCTTACTGGAAAGTCAAGTGTAACCAAGTAAAACATTTTTGTGGCTAGAACTCAGTGTTCAGTGCAAAGCTATCTTTGGCTCATGGTACATTTTAAGGCAGGACATACTCTCCCTCAGAACAATGATTGCAATCAATTTAACATTTCTGTCTTTTCTAAGAGGAAATAATCATAACAGTATTCATTTTCAAAATCCCCAGCATGTAAGCTGACATCTACTTTCCTTTTAAGAGGCTTCCTCTATGTTATAGGTTGAGCATTCCAAATCTGAAAATCCAAAATGCTACAGAATCTGAAACTTTTCGAACACAGATGTGACACTTAAAGGAGATGCATATTGGAGCATTTCTGTTTTTAGATATTCAGATTTGGGATGCCCAGCCAGTAAGTATAATGCAAATACAGTATTTCAAAATCCTAAAAAAAAACCCTAATCCAAAACACTTCTAGTCCCAAATATTTCTAATAAAGGATACTCAACCTGTATGTATGTTTTCCTTGAGTTATGTACCTCCGTGTTCCCCAGTCTGCCTACCACAGAACCTTGTACACAGCGTTTGTTGATTTGAATTTGAATTGTATCAGCCTACAGCACTCATATTATACAACTCTCTAAGGAATTAATGTTAATCTATTTCTTGATGTGCTTTGCATAAAACTTATTCAGCCTTAAGATGTTTGGCACTAGTGTATGAACGTGTATTGACCTTGTACTGTTTGACATTTACTTTGTGTATTAATGTTGCCTTCCCTAGTTTGGCAAGTATCTTGGGGGATAAAACCTCCTCTTGTATATCCTATTTCAAAACTGTAAGGAAGTCTGGGTACATTGTGACACTCATACGTATTTGTTAGTTCAGTTAGCTTCCCTCTTTATACTTCAAAAAGTAATGAGAATATAGCAACAAGAATCTGACATAAGTGACAAGCAGATTTGTTGAAAGGCTTCATGAGAATGGAATCTGAATATTTACTTTGAATGAGGAGAGGGAATGTCGAGCTATGAGAGAGCACGTGGAGAGAGGCTGAAATGTGCAATTTAAGATGGAGTTTGTGAGAATAAGACTAAAGTTGTAGGAACCATGGTTAGTTGGAGGGATGGGGTGGGGTCAATCAGGAAGGATCATAAGAAACTGGCAGAAGATGTGGTATTGATGTGGTATTGGTAGGTCGTGAGAAACCATTGTAAGTTCTGAAGCAGGAATATA